AGCATATAGTTGGAGAAGGTAACAAAAACTAAAAGCAAAAAAAAAAAAACATAATGAAACAGAAGGAAAAAATAGAGAAGAAGATATATGATATATATCTCTATCAATTAGAAATGACTATCTAGTTCTTGAAAGATTTATTGAGATCAAATGTATTAGAGGGTTTTGGTAGTTGAAATTGATATTTGTCATTGAATTCACTTATATCAATAATTTTTATTTTAGCATAGGTATGACACCCTATGAAACATATTATGAAATAACTAGAGATGCTACATAAAAATTAGAAAATAAAATAAAAAAAAAAAAGTTACTCTTAGTTAATAAAATTTCTATAAGTAAGAAGGAAATATAACACCTCATGTAAATTTGTTAAAATATACTAAATTATAATATTTTTAGGAAAAAAAATATAATAAAACACTAAAATAATAATAATATTATTAACAATAAATAAGCATTTATTAAACATAAATTATTAATTTATAAAAAATATAAAAATAATTATTGTTATTATCATTAATTATCAAAATAATAAAATAAAGTATTATTATTAATTGAATTTATATATATTTATTTTTTTTTAAATAGTGATAACTATTATGAGAAAAATAATGGATAAAATGCTTATCTCTCCATTAATAGAGATAAGCTTAGCATTAAATGAAAAAAAAAACATGTATAAATATGGGCACATTGTAAAAAAAAAGGAAAAATAAAAGAAAAGAGAAATATATATATATATATATATATATATATATATATATATATATATTTGGTTATGTTTTATATTTATAAGAATAAGATAATCAAACATTTATCATTTTCTTTATTTTATTTTTAATTATAATTGTAGAGTGAGGTATTCATAATTTCATTCTATTTATTTTTCTATATTTAATTTATCTCATGATCCTTTGTTATATTTATTTATTTGTCTTAATTTATGCACTGGTTTTATTTTATTTATTTATTTTTAATTACACACTAATACTTTATTATATTTATTTATTTATTTTTAGTTATGTACTAATATTTTTTATTATGTACTATTTTTTTATTTACTTATTTATTTTCAATTACACACTGATTTTATTTTATATTTATTTATATTATTTACTTTAATTCCAGTTATATACTAGTTCTCTTTTATTAATTTATATTTATATTATTTAATTATTATTTTATTTCAAGAAAGTAATATTTATAAAGATTTGATGACATAATAGATGAAGGTTGTAATAAGTAAATATCACTTAAAAATTTATTGATTAATTTTAAACTCATTTATCTTGATTATCCATTACAAAAAAAATCAATTAAAACCTTCATAATATAAAATAAATGGAATATATTGATAAAATTGAAAAGTTGATCTTGTAGATTATTTTGAAAAAAATATTATTTTACATAATATTTGTTCACACTTCTCTATTTTACTTTTTATGCATATACAATTAAAAATATAAACTTAAATACATAGAGGAGTCGAACGTTCCAAATTCCTTCTTTGCAAACATTACTATTTTTTTTTTCAGGATTACTTGGAATATAAACATTATTGACAATTCAGCTTATTTTTAGAGAGATGAGATTATCAATTTGATATTTACATTTAATATGGAAACTTCATTCATTTTAGAATGATCAATAGTGATCACTTATTCCCACTCGTAAATATATGTATAATGGTTATATGAAAGAAAGGAATTGAAAATAAATAACTTTCCTTCTTTTTAAATAAATTTTATATAAAAAATATCAATATAAATTACACTTCTATATGTAAATATTTTTATCTCACATGTTATCTTTATCAAAATTTTGTATGAAAATGTTACATTATATATATATATATATATATATATATATATATATATGTGTGTGTGTGTGTGTGTGTGTATGTGCGTGCGCGCGTGTGTGTGTCAAATGAATTGTTTCTGTAATAACTCTTCTATATGTTTCTTTAACTACACCAATTCAGTTGGAGTCATCTTATAAGGTAGCATTGATACTAGTCCTGGCATTAGATTAATGGAGAATTCAACTTCTTTCTTAGGAGGTAACCCATGCACTTCCTTTAGAGATACAACCAATAACTCCTTCATTATTTGAATGTCACTTGTTTTATCCTCACTACTAACATTTGTCTAAGTCAATACCACAAAATAATTGGCTCTATCTCTAATCTCACTCCATATTTATTGGGTAGATATTATCTCTATTAATAGGACTTTCTGCTAACCACAATTATTAACAATGTAATGAATAAACAATCAATCCATTCCCAAAATCATATATAGATCTTGTAGAGGTAAGCAAATCAAGTTGAATTTGAATTTGCATTCTCCTACAATACAAAATATCTTGCCCACATAAATAAAACAAATATCATTTCAAATGCCGGTATAGAAATCAACAACTCAAATTGCACCTTTTTTACTAATAGTCTCAATTCTTCCACACAATTACTTGACACAAAGATTATGTCACTCTATAGTCAAATAACATTCTCAAACTCCTACCAGTTCTAACACAATGTCCTTTAACTAAATTATCTAACTTTGAAGCATCAACTCCTAATAGTGCAAATACTCTCCCAACTACTTTTAACATATTGCCCTTTACTCTCCCTTGTTGAGATTTACTTGGAGCGGCAACTCCTTTCTTGTTTGGGCAATCCTTGACCATGTGTCCTAACTTGTGGCATATTTAACACCTTCTTTTAGTTAATAATTGGGGGCAATCCTTCATAAGTGTGACCCTCCATACTAAAAGCATATAATTCTAAATTGTTGGGGCTACTAGTCCTAATATTATGGTGACACTATTCTTCCATTGCTCTGTTGAGGTTTAACATAGTTTTTTTTTTTTCACCCTGATCTTTCCACTAAAAAATCCTCTTCCAAGAAGTTAGACTACTCTATTGTCTCCTCCTTTCAGACCTCTCAACCATCTTAGTCTTCTCCACTATACCTAAAAATTCTCTAATGGACATTAGAGTTACTGTCATTTTCAACTTATGCCTTAGTTCTTTCTCAAATTTTTTACACCTCCAAACTTGATATTGAGACATATCATTTGGCTTGGTATCTCAAAATTTTTTATATTTAATCCCAATTTCTCTTTAAACTATTAAAATCTCGATCCTTATATTTTAGTTTAACCTGTTAATTTTTTTTTAAATAGTATTTATTAACAAATAATGTATATAAAATATAAATATTTAACTTTATTTTATATTAAGAGATCTCCACGTTCTCTTACATTAGAAATTTTTTATTTTAGTCAATATCATACGTTAACTAAATGTTTATTAAATATGTAATTTTTACTCATTTTATTTTTTTTCAATTTAAAACTTTTACTTTATTTTATCTAACATGTAGATAAATTGATACTTTCAGTTATTTACTACATTAGTTTTTTTTAATTTAATCACATGTAATGAATTATTAACAATATCATTCAAAATTTTCATAAAGTGAAAAGAAAAAAAAATCAATTTTGTCTTAAACTTATAAGGTTAAACTGAATAAAAATATAAAAAGTGATAGGACTAACAAAATAGATAACAGCTTGATATTATATTAAAAAATTATTAACGTATCAATATTAAAATAATTAATTAAAATTTTTTTAAAAATATTTTTTAAAATTATATTAATAAAAATATTTTGTATTTTAAATATAATAATTTAATATATAAATTATAAGAAAAGAAAATCATTTAAGTATTAAGAGTTAAATACTTACTCTTCTTTATCATTATTTATTTTTTAGTGATTTATTAATCTAAAATAATAATTAATATTAATGATTAAATAATGTGATAAGTGAAGGTTAACAATTTCCTCTTATAACAAGTTAATTCTTTATTAAATTAATTTATTATATATATATATTAATTAATAAAATAATAATATTTTTATTTTTATTTAAAATTTATAAAACGGGTTATCTAATAAGTTTCAGATCATACAAAGATAAATATTTAATTTTATTTAGACCACAAATATTAGACCTAATATGTCTTATTTCTTGGTATCCACCCACTTAAGTTTATTTTAACAAATAAGAAAGAATAACTTTATTAACATAGAAACTCTACTAAGACTTTTAAGGATTTCATTCAATTTTATTATCTAGTTTTATAAATTATTTTTTAAAAATTACTTTTGAAAATAAATTATTTTTTTAATAATTTTATTTTTAAAAATCATTTTAAAAAAGAACGATAATAAAAATCATGAAGAGTTAATTTTTTTAATAATTTTATTATAAAAATGAATGATGATTAATAAAAATATTAATATCTATTAATAAAACAAATAAAAATGAAAAAATAACATTTTATTAATTTTGTTTTTTTCAATTTTTTAAAATTGAAACACAAAAATAATTTTTAAAAAACAAAAAATATAAAACTGTTTTTAAAAAGAATAAATAAAGAAACTTTTAATATATATATATATATATATATTATATTATTTTGCACACATTATTATTTTTAAAATTAAAATTTATAAAATTATTAAACCAGATAATTAGATCATTAAATAAAACCTATATTTTTAGTGGTTTCTAACAGTGTTAATCGCCAAAAAGTTCAAATTATGTATTTATATGTATTTATAATATTTTTCTTTCAAAATACTTTTTTAATTAAATTATAATAAATATAAAAGAGATTGATTGGTTGAACAATCTTGGTAATTTCAATAATTTTAATCAAATAAGAGATTTATGTGTTTTTAAAATAGTGCGTTTGGAACATTTTTCAAGATTGAAATGGGACACTAAAATCATTTTAATAAGAAAAATAAAAAATAAAAATAAAAAGTTCCATGTGAAGATAAATAAAGGCGGAGGCAAAACGAGTGTTCATGAAAGTTGGTTCAGCGGCAACGCTTCACAAACCCAAACCCTAACCTTTCTTCTTCTTAATCCCTAATCTTTCTCTTATCTTTTTCTTCTTCTTCTTCTCTCTGCGAACAAACATGTCTCACTTCGGACGTTCGGGTCCCCCAGACATCTCCGACACATACTCTCTTCTCGTTCTGAACATCACCTTCCGTAGCCTCTCTTTTTCCCTTTCTCTCTCTTTGCTTCAATTCTTCTGCTAAACCCTTAATCTAACATTCGATCTCGTTGTGTTCAGGTACCACAGCGGATGATCTATTCCCTCTCTTCGACAAGTACGGGAAGGTCGTCGACATCTTCATCCCCAAGGATCGAAGGTTTTGTCGAATTTCAATTTCATTCCCTCCATTTATTCATGTTTTATTTGTTTATTTAATTAATTGTTCTCTCTTGAAGGACTGGTGAGTCGAGGGGTTTTGCGTTTGTGCGTTACAAGTATGCTGATGAGGCGCAGAAGGCCGTTGATAGACTGGACGGTATGATTTATTGTTTTAATTAGCTATTTTAACTCGCTTTTTCGTTTGATTGAATTTGGATGAACGAGTTTTAGTAACCCTTTCAGGAAGAATGGTTGATGGCCGTGAAATAACGGTCCAGTTTGCGAAATATGGGCCTAATGCTGAGAGGATGTAAGTGCTTCCTGTGACTTTTTTGGTTATTTATTTATTTGTTCATTTTCTTGCTCTCTTTTTTATCTGTAAATTATAATCGTTGATTTCTCTGTTGAATTTACCTTCATTTTGTTTTTTTTACTGTGTAATAATTGCTTTGTGTGGGTTTTTGATTTTGAAAATGAAAATTACTTGATAGGATTATTTCACAAGCCCTCCATATCTCTTTGGATGTTTTTGCCATTGTCTGTTTCTCCCTTTGGAGATTAACCATGATTTTAGATTAATTTACAAACCTATACTGTTGTGTTTTGGGGGTTAGCATTCCGTGTGGCTGTGATGGTTTTGAGGGGTGGGAATGGAATGTCTGGAGAAGGAAGATGTGGATGGATTTGCGCTCGTCAGCTGCAAGAATTGAAGTAATAATATCATCTAATTTGTGTTTTCAAATTTCTCTCTATATAAATTTTGTCAACAGGTTTTGCAAACAATCAGCTTCCAACTTTTACTTTTTTAATAACAAAAAGAGTTCTGAAAGAACAATAATCAGACTGGTCTTTTGCTCCAACGTGATGACTTTGCGTGATGATGACGTGTGTTCATTGCTTAGTTAAGTTTTTTCAATTTGCAGTCACAAAGGAAGGATTATTGAAACAGCCCAGAGATCACGTTACCGGTCAAGAAGCCGTAGTCCCAGGAAAAGGTTTGCTGTTGTTTTCTTTACCTGCTTCTTCTAAAGTGCTGTCGTGATTTAATGTATGATTTGATTGCTTAGTTTGAGTTTCATGTTCAATATCACATATTTTCTCAGCTTTTTTTTTTTTTTTTTTTGTGTGACGAGATGTCCATTTTATAGGTAAGACAATCTTTTGGAATCTTCATTGGTACATTGTAAGCTATGTTTTGTGACAATTAGTCCGTATTTCAAGCAATATAATTTTTGATTCAGATCATAGGTTACTTTTTCCGATTTCTGTTAATAATCATGTCTAATTGGAGGAATCTTGTACAGTATAAAATAAACGTCTGGTTGCAGTGGCACATCGCGCTTTTATAGTTTATTTTTCGCAACTCTTACATCTCTTATTTGTTTGTTGTTTTTTAATAGTAAAAAAGTGATTTTAGCCTTTGTGATTGGTGAATTCTTCCCCCCTTCAACTATCATTTATGTAGCCGCAAAGACCTGGTTAGAATAATATTATGCTGTCACAGATGTTTTCAACAGGATTGTGTATTTGGATAAACGGATTTTGGGAAATAAGTTTTTACAGCTTTTGATTTTTTGAAGAAAAAAAGCTAAAAATGATTATCAACACATGGAAAATGTCATTTATCCAATCATTTCGAAATTGATTTTTGGTAGTTAAAGTAGGTTTTAATAGCCAATGCAGTTTGGTCATTCATTTTTCAATTAACATTGTTGGAGACATGAGTTTATTAATGTCATTATCTGCAGATATCGTGATGATCACAGAGACCGTGATTATAGGAAGAGAAGTCGCAGTAGAAGCTATGATAGGTATGAACGTGACAAGAACCGAGGGAGAGACAGAGATTATCGTCACAGAAGCAGGAGCCGCAGTACCAGTCTTGATTACAAGGGTCGTGGGAGGGGACGCTATGATGATGAGCGCCACAGTAGAAGCCAGAGCAGATCAGTTGATAGGTCTTCATTTATTGATATATGGTTCTTGCAAATGTTTTTCCTCAATTCTTATAATTATATTTGACTTTCATTGATATTCTTTTTAGCCGCACCCCGGCACGACGCAGTCCTAGTCCTCGGAAGAGTGCTTCCCCCCAGAGGAGTGCTTCCCCTCGAAGGAGTATTTCCCCTAGAAAAAGCCCACGGGGTGAAAGTCCAGCTAATCGTAGCCGTGATGGTCGTTCTCCTACCCCATGCAGTGTCTCACCACGCGGTCGCCCTGAAGCTTCGCGAAGCCCTTCCCCTCGAAATTCAAATGGTGATGTAAGTAATGTGCCTTAAACAATGCTGTTATATAAAATATCAATTTTCTAGTCAAGATATTTATGTACCTATTGTGACTTTTCCATTTTTGTTCTCGTGCAGGAATAAGACATGCTTTACATGAAAATTCTGGAGATGCCGGGCTATTGCACCTGTAGCTGTTTTGCTATTGTTTGATCTTTTAGTCTTATGTGAATGGGTCATATCAGAGTCATTGAAGGATTTTATGGTCTAAGTGCTGTTTGGTAGGGTCAGACTTCCTTGATGTTTGGATGTTTCTATGTTTGGACTTGCTATGTCTCTACTTCAGTGTTTGGTAACTATTAGACTTTGCAGTTGATAGGATAATTCTATCTCAGTTTAAGGGATTTTGCTATTTCATTCTACTGTTTACATTTCTCTCTCCCCACATCTCCATTTTCATTTCCCACTTTATAGGAAGGAATGACTGGATCTAGTTAAAGCTCAATTAATTTATATTGAACAACTTATTGGGTTTTATAGTTACGATCGGGGAAAAGTGATGGGGGCCTGATAGGCGCATCTTGACTTTGTTGCTGTTGATGCTGTTTCTATGTCATTGATGATTGGTCGTGAATTTGATGCTGGTTGCAAGAGTATGCTGGTTTTAGGACTGATTTTTTACCAATGTGCTGATTAGACAGACAATTAGTTGACTTGGTTTTTTCCTGAATGATCTGATTATTGGTAAGCTTTTTTGGTTTACTTTCATGTTTCTTCTGAGATCCCTCATAACCATTGAGAATTCTGATTTTTTATCTGGTAACCGTGTTTGGCCTTGGGAAAAACTGTCCTAAAAGGGATTCTTGATGCTGTGACGAACAAGTTGAGCATATTTTGACATGTAGCCGATGCCTCATAGGAGTTGGACCTGTCATTTGTTGATTCAGATGCAGATACTAAACATAAAACTGTGGGTCCTAAATATGAACTTTAATGTGCTGGTGTTTATTTGGAAGTGGACAATGGTAACACATTCATGGTTACTTTTTTAGGGTACTTTAATGGATAATTTTAACGTTGACCTTTCAAGATTATAACATCTGTCACTTAATGTAGTGAGATACGTTTGTTGTAGCACACTGCTCCATGACTCTGTAGCTGTGAGGTGGTAGCTGATGCATCTTTAGTAGTAAGATATGCATGTGTTCGTGAATAATTTGAAGCACTAACCAGTTACTGTAGCTGACTGTTGCTGCCCTCTTTGCTGAGATCGGGTTGGCAATGGTATTAGCAGTTGGTACACTGATGATGGCTGTCTAGCTGTGCTGCTGGTTTCTGTTGATTCCAAAGCCGCATGGCAGAATTTGTTTTATTACTATTGAACTGGTGATTTGCTTTTGTAGTCTCAGTTTATGTTATCCATTCATTCTTTATGGCATTAAAAAATTGTTGCTTTCACATTTTGGTCACTCTTAACATTGTGTCTGGTTATTATAGTTTTACAAAACTGAAATGACCAATGTGTTTGAGACGAGTTTCTCTTAAATTAATGAATTTTTTTAGGTTGTAGGTGAAACACTTCAATTTGTTAAATATGTTGGCCTTTTTTTTGAATGAGTGACTGTTATTACTACAAAGAGTATTGAAGAGGTGTTATGCTGGCTGCCAAAGTTCGCAGAACCGATGAAACACTTTTCTCAATCTAAGTAATATGACAAGATTTAGGGTTTTTCTTTGTGACGATAAAAATTTACTCGAGCTTATTAAATCTAGTTCAGTTTTTTATGTGATTAAAGTGTCAAGTGTTTTAATTCATTTGGTATGTTTGTTAACCTGAGCACATGGTAGATATGAAATGCCATTCCCGTTTTTTAGTGCAGAAACTGATTGGTGGGGTGATGATGTTCTACCTGTGTTAAAACATACTATCAATCTATTTCGTTGAACTTTTGTGTATATATAGAGAATGGTGGGTGAATAGGAACTGTGGATAATTTTCTCACTTCAAAAATATGCATTGGATGTATCACCTCGTTATGAGATTCAATAGCACGGATTTAGGAAGAAATTGCGCAAGGAATTTCGTCAGGCTTTCTTAGTTTTGCACTTGTATGAACCTTTTTCTATTTTAGGATTGTTTAAAATCTGACAACAATTAATTTCATTCAGAAAACCTAAATTTTAAAGTATTTTGTAACAATATTTTATTGTGTTGATTTATATTTTGGAGATGTGACATTGAATAATGACCATTTAATCCAAAAATTTATGTTATATGATATACATTTATTTGAAATTAAGGTAACTCACGCAAGTGTATATTAAATTTAAATAATGATCTATATATAGTTGTTTTTCCCAAGTTAAATTTTGATATTTTAATTTAATGTACGTAAATATTCATTTTAACTAAATCTAGTTTGGAGAATGGGTAATTAAAGATAACCCAATAAAATGAAGAAAAAAGTGGGAAGTTTATTTGCAACTTAAATAAAATAGAAGAAAACCAATAATAGTTAATGATTGATATTTAAAATAAATCTTTATTTGCTCATAATGTGTTTTAATTCATTTGATAAGTTAATTACATGTTTTTTGAAAAATCAACTTTTTTTTCTAAAGGATATTGTAAATAATTGCAATCATATATGAATTGAAAAATTGATAAATTTTTTATAAAGTTATTTTTTATGACTTAATAAAAGAGAGTCTGCCAAAAAATATTACATCAACTTATTCAGAAACTCCTACCATTGTTACTCGGGTTTACCTTGTTTCTTTGAAACAACTTCACTAATATATTGATATTTAGTTTGTATTATAATAGTACAACATCAACTAACTCAATAAGTACTGGATAAATTAAAAATTTGGATTAAGTCTCTAAAATTATTTCTGTCAATTTTTCCAGACTATAAACCAAAAAGTTTTTATTTTATTAGATATCCAACTTGAAATTTTTGTACTGGATTTTAAAATAAATGTTGAATAATTTAGTTTAAAATAGTTTAATCACGAGTCATTGGTCCAGTAAGACGAAGAAGCTCGAAAAAATTGTGATTTTAAAAAATAGAATTCTTTAAAGAACTAGGAAATCTCAATAAAACGATTTCTAAGGAGAGTGAAGCAAGAAAAAAATTATATAGATAAAAGTCATCAAAGGTTGGAAAATGAGTATGTTGTACTTTGAACGGAGCTAGATACAATACAATACAACAATTTCATAAAGTATATTTAAATAGCGATGTATTTCTACCGACATATTCAAGCGTTTTGGTCTTAAGAATTCACAAGACTTGTGAATTTCACATGAAAGTAATTTGTAGCATATCACAGACAATATAAATCATAAACCGAAAATAATGGATTCCTATTCTTAAATTTGATTGAGTAACCTAAAGGTGAATTAGAGTAAAGTAACGCTAATAAACTTATCACAAATCACCTAACACTACTAAACATCAATATAACAGTACGTAAAAAAAAAAAACCTATGATTTCGTTATTATAATTCTAAATATCAACTTCACGAGTTGGTAAGGTAAGCGATTAAAAGGTAGTAACTTATAATTAAAACAGAATTAAAGCAGAAGTCGTTGTTCTAATTTATGTACGCTTAAACTTTGCTTTTTAGAAAAAACTTCAATTTTTATTCTTGTTTTATGATTTTGTAAACAGATTCTTAAATCAACTTGCATCAAACTTCCCTGCAAGGAAACGGGGACATATGCTAAATGAGATTCCAAAGAATAGCCGTTTTTTATTTTAGTTTATGTTTTATTTTTTAAATTCAATCTTTTACTAAATGGCGTGGCATCTTTCAATAATTAATTGCAGTTGCATGCAGACAAAGAAAGCTTGAGTTTGAAATTTGCAAAAGCAGCTGATGCCTCAAAATTAGTTGGATGTCTCTATTACACTCTATCTTCCTTGAAGATTGTGATCGGTTTCTATGGAATTGAGAAGCAAAATGAATACAAACTAGTGTATATCTATCATCCTCCACTGGACAAAAGGTATTAAAGCCCAAAGAGAGACCCCCAAAAGGAAAGAATATATGAAATTTAGTGGTATTAGGGATGAGAAACTAGAAGAAGTTGAAGGGATTGAATCTCAAGCTGGTATAATTGGCACTGACATAAGCATTAAGCAACTCATTCTGAGCAGACCAGAAATCAGCCTTGAGACCCACTCTCCTAATTGCTTTTAAGATTTTGTTCTTGTGTGTGTATCCAGTGACTACTACCTTTTGGCAGCTAGTGTCTACTTCCACTTTCTCTATCCCTGCATGTAGTAGATCCATGTTAGTTCAAAACCAACATAGAATTACTGTGGCACTGATTAACAAAATCTGTTTCAATTAATCAAACCTTTTAATTTTGAGAGGCATTTCCTTAGTCTTTTCTCATGTATACAAACCATCTCCACTTTTAACTCAACAATCTGTAAAGTAAAACTCACAATCTTGAATATTTTTCAGCATAATTATTAAAGACCAAGTATGCAAGAATGAGAGATAATGTCTGAACGAACCATGCAACAGTTATGAGATTAAGGGATAGAAGAACAATACCTCCATGGAAACAGCTGAGAGGAAATGATGCTACAGAATGATGATTTGGAGAGGGAGGACAGGGAAGGAGTGAAGGATAAAGTGAGACAGAATGATTTGAAAACAACTGAATGAGAGTTAATCAATGAGACTGAGACATTCAAGGTTATTTATATATGTTAGACCAAAGACAAGATCAACTAAAGTTGGATGAAACATTAAGTGGGGTGTGTCTTGGGTTTTTAGTCTGCAGTCTGTTTAAACTATTAATATAAGGCAAAACCATAAGCTTTTCCGGGACAGAAGCACGTTAAGCTTTAGAATATGCGACACGGGCCTCGAGGTTTTGGATCCACGCAAAGCAATGAGTGTATGAGAATTTGAAATGATTGGCTTTGACAGGTCCAACATGGCTTTTTTCCCTTTTGACCGAAGTTTTACTCACATAGAGCTAGGAAACACAAAAAAGAAAGAAATCAGACAAGGACTTCTTGGATTTGATGACAAGCGCCTGCAGCATGTTTAACATCTGGCACATACCTTATATCTCGAATCTGTCCATTACCATATTAAATTATCATATCCAATACTCAAACTCTATATATGTAATTAGATAAATTAGTAAGAAAAAAATGTTTCGATGGGTGTTAACCATTTATCTGCTATAGGCAATTTTATGGTGTTATGCGTCAAATTGAATTTCATGTGTATAACTTTTCCTTAGTGATTGATATTAAACTATGTGCAATGGTTATATATATAATATACGACAGAAGATTTGGTTTGGCAATTTAGATGAAGGAAAAAGTGGAGTGTCAAATGCTTATTCTGCAATATGTGCAGGCATGGTATATGAATAAAGTGGATTAATTCTTTTCTTGCTATCTGACATATGGTATTTGATTTGGTTGAATGTGGAGCACATTTAGCAAGGAAAAGGAAGTACTGATCAGAAAAGAAAAAGAGAATAGAAACGTCCATTACGTAGACAATGAGAATGACAACAGGAAACAGACCAAGCAGCAAGTTTGGTATAATTTAGTTGGATGATGTACCTTTTTGCTATGTAGGTGTCCGTGCTCGGTATACGAGGTTTTTCTCACACAATTTGGATTCAGGTCCTATCTAATGTTACAAGAGAAATTTGTTATGCTACAACAAATAAAGAGGTATTAACCGTTCGATGAAAACTTCATGTAGTTAATAAAGGATCCTGGTCCCACGACTTCATTGTAATGCTTCCGATTCTATTTTAGCATTCTCTTTATTGCTCATTATTAGTTGATTATTTGAGAGTCGTGCACCAACTTAAAATTAGTTTTAATTAAATAAATTAACTTTGTTTACTTTTTATTAAATTTAAATTATTTTGTTTTTAATAACACAATTTAGATTTATTAATTTTTATTTTTTTATAAAATATTTCAATTATGACTGAATAAATTATTTTAATATTAAATAATATTATATCAGTTTATAATATTTTTCAATTTATTTGTCCAAGTTATTTTTGGATCAATATCGACTAAATATTTTCACATGACTTCAAGGAAAACTTTTCTTAATTTTTATTATGCAAAATTGTCGTTTTATTACTATGGTTTATAATTATTTTAGTTTATATTAGTAAGTTTTATTTTCTCGTTAGTTAAGGTTATTTTTCACCCATTTTTTAATCAGTGTTAGTAAAAAAACATTCTCCTAATTAATATTGTCTAATCCTAATCAAGGTTGATCGCTAGTTGAAATTAGAAAATATTAATCAAAATTTGAATTTTGATGAAAAAAATAACACTATGAACATCTATTGAAAAACAACCCTTGTAGACGTAAGTAAAAAAATATATCTGGTGGATATAAAAAAGGGCTAATATATATATATATATATGTGGATTGATGAACCGTGACTAATGGTTGTCACGAAATAGGTTCAATTAGAAAAAAATTAATTGCTATCCATATTAGTTGAAAAAAATGCTAACTTATAATAACTAAAAATAATTAAAGTTAACATTGTTTATTACATTAACCAAAAACATTCTAGATGTTACTCAAGAAAAAACTAACTAATATTGTATAAGAAGTAACGTGGACTCCCATGGATAGTACTTCTAGTTGAAAAAAAAAAAAACTGAAATGATATTGAGTTGAATATTCAAATTATCGAGGCTACCACATCTCAATCAAGACCAAGTTCAAGTCAATAACGTCCAAATTAAGATTGAGTATATGAAGCTTTTTTGGATAATTCCAAACTTAAGACAACAAGAGAGTATAATGAAAAAACACGTAAATGCGAAAGATGAAAGAAAAAATATTTCAAATTTACTTTTTATTTAAAATTTGAATTAAATATTCAAATTATTCTCATGAAATTTTAATATTTTCAATTTCTTCTAAAATTCTCCATTCAAGTAATATATTTATTAAAAAATATTTCAAATCCTTTACAAAAATGAATTTTTCTCAAAGTGAAATGTTAGTGAGCATAAAGAGTATGGTACAAATGCTTTGTCGTGATAATTTAATTTAATAATTATTTACATTAATATTTATTGGAAGAGGTGAACTATAATAACAATTGTTTAAGAATTTACAAATATAATAATACATTACTAAATAATAGTTTAAAATTAAATTCGAAATGAACCAATATGAGTTTCTTCATAAGTTTTTCTTAACAGGAAAATATTTAAATATTGTGTATTAATCTCCATAAAACACATAATTAGTGTTACTATTAATTTTTCATAGTAATTTAAAAAACTTAGGAATATGTAACCATTAATATTTGATTGGGAACATAGTCAAGGTAGTATACTAGTATTGGACTACTTTCTTCCCAACAGAGAATCCATTGGCTTCTTGAAGGGCCAATAATCTCACAGGAGCTCATAACAAGCTTATAAAAAAAGGAACAAGAGAAGGCACCGCACAAAATAGCTAGAGTTTCTAGGAGAATGATCAAAGAGAGATTTGACGATGCAAGATGGATAGCCTGCACAGGTAGAGGTCAAAGACAGAGAGGAGTGATATAAACAAATATATATATATATATATATATATATATATATGTATGTATGTATTTCAAACAATAAGTACATATCAATAAATAAAATGAGGGATAGAGATCATTGATTTCTTAATTGCAACACGCCAAAGGCCCAGAGCTAGCTAGTGAACTTTAGCAAGTATTCATCTTCCCTGCGTGCTTATGTTTATCTAATTTTCACTGAACTGACAATTATCCCCATATACTGCAGAAAACATTTCCTAAAACCTGCATGCAGCACTTGCACTTAAATCCAAGGACGTGTTTTGAGACATGCATGCTCCATTACATTCATTGTTCATTTTCCAATAAGCATAGACAAACACTTTCAGTCATCTCCCAACTAAGATAAATAAAATATGAAAAAGGTGGGCCAATTGGTGAAGGCATCTGAGAAGAATATGAATAAAAAATATGGCCAAAAATTTGGATTTATACTTGTACCATGAGACACCATGACGGGAATTTTTCCTAAAATCAAAGTAATTAATGCCCATTTAAAAGTACCTATTCACACATTATTTCTATTTAGGGTACAAAGGAAGTTCCTTATTAAGATGTTTTAATGAAGGAAGTTACTTGAAATAAAAAAACAAGGTAAATTCCTACAATCTTATAACACAACCACTAGTACACAAAAACCTCTAATAGCTTATGGCATATATCCATGATGATCTAATTTCAACTTATTTTCATAACTCACAAACTAATAATACCGGATTACAAATTACAGTAATGTGTATTCTTTGATTACATAAAGACCTTACATACAGGTAGTTACATGATGACACTTACTCAACAAGCACCTAATTAAATTGCTTACTCAAACACACTAATATTGGGAGGAAACTATGCATCCCGACGTTCAGAAGTCAGAAGCAGTACAATGTATCATGAGTTATGACAACTGCATGTTATGCAACAGATGTAAAATCGTTTCAAGTCACAACAAACCGTTCAACACCCGCAAGTTCCAATCTACCTTGCACTTCCTCTATTCCTTATTTTATTCTCATTTATCACAAAAGAATCACTATTTAATGGTGCAAAAAAAATTATCAATATTCATTCACACAGAAACAACAACATTTATTACAGTCATAAAGATAAGCATCTTTCGCTTGATAGGGTAAAATTCAATTTACAAAATAACGAAAGGGGATACTGCTTTTGGTTAGGGTTGACCACGCTTAACGCAAAGACATTTACTGAGACGTAGAGAGCGATTCCTTTCCTCCAAGTGTTCGAATTATCGCTTCGAGAAGCTTGATGTCCTCGTCGCGCTTCTCGATTTCTTCTTGCTTCGCGCGCAGCTCTTCCATGTGCAACTGAAACACCTCTGTTAAAAGAAATCAGAAACAATTAGCCTCACCGGTCACAGACCAGAACCATTCCGAACTTCAATTGAGAAATAAAATGAAATAATTGTGAAGAGGAAAGACAGAGTATGATGACGATGATACTTGTGGTGTTTTCAAGTTCGGCGGTGAGCTGTTGAGCGCGCGATTCGGCGGCTTTCTGAGCGGCCTCGGCCTGTCGTTTCTCAGAGCGAGCGCGAGCTGCAGCGGTGATGGCGGCGTCGACCTCTCTCTCCAAGGTCTCGACTCGTTGCTGGAGAAGCTTGATGGAGCGGGCTTGGTCGGCGGTGAGGGAGGCTTTGGAGAAGGTCTCGTCGTCGACGAAGACGGCTTTGGTGAGGAGAAGCTTCTGAAGAGATTCGAGATTCGATGACATCTCCGTCAGATTCGTCATCGCTCCGCTCCATCGCTCTCCTTTCTCGTTCTCTCCCATCATCATCAGTGTCTCACTACCCAGCACAACCCTTCTCACTACTCATTAATTAATTTTCTGCTACAGTTCTTGTTCATTCCCATTCTTCTCGATTTTATTGGAAATCCCAAATACCGTGGATTTTACTTATTCTTATTTATGGGCTTTATAATTTTATATTCTTTTGATAATTTAATAAATAAAAAATATTATAAAGAATTTTTTTATAACTGTTTCTGCTGCTGTTATTTTATCTTTTATTAATAGTAATTATTTATGAAAATATAAATTCATAAATTTTTCACTGAAAAGATAATTTATATTTTTCTTTGATATATAATTGTTAAAGTTAAAATCATTTTTAAATTCTCGATAAAATATCAGTTTATTAGCATTTTAATCATATATAATATTATTTTAATTTTAATATTTATTTTTATATAATCAAAATATATTATAATTTTTTTAATATAATAAATAAAAACATATAAAATAAATACTAAATATATATATATATATATATATGTTATTTACAAATATATAACTAAATTTAATATTAATATAAATATTATTTTTTAACTAGTTTAAAAAAATATGATTGTTGTTATTTGTGATAGCAGGTTTGATTTTGTTTTAAAGATCCAAAAAGTGGTAAAATTTTCTCTTTATCCATCATTTTTTTCTTTTTTATAAATTAGTGCTTCATGAAATATTTCTCTAAATTGTTTGTAGTTTTCCTTTGACATGGCTTGAAGAAGTTTTATAGTTCTTAAAACTTGCATATTTTACGTTTGGGCCCTCCATTTAATTAATTTTATAAATAAGTCTTTCATGAAACATTTCTCTTTAAACTTAATTTAGTCCTAATACTACTATTCTCCCTTTAAAGAAAGATTATTTTGTCCGCTGCATGAATAAAAGTATGGTCCATTTGACCATTATTTCATTTTCCAATAGATTTTGTTTCAGTTCTTCAATTTGTGTGTGCCCTCCACAGTTCAAACCCCAAAATTGATAAACAATAGTAGCTTGAATAAGCCACCACTAAATGCAATGGCGACATCAGAAAGATGTTAGACTTAGGAGTGCACCCTGTAAAAATACTTAAGGGACAGGTGTTGAAGTTACTCAAACAATCTATACTATAATATATGCATGAGTCTATGTATTGGACAGAGGGAATGAATGTGAAGCAATTTTAAAATTACTGATCTCAACCACCATACATAAGAAATGAGATGTAGAATTTGTGGATACACATTCTTAAATTGTGTGTAAATTGCAAAAAAGCATTTCCTTTCATTTAGAAATCCTCAAGAGAAACAGAGCAAGAATTGACATTGGAGTTGCTGCTTCAGAGCCAACATGTCTGATGTTTTTATTACTCTACAACCTGAACTTGCTTAAATTTTCTGAAGAATTGACCACACAAAAAATAAAAACAGAAAGGACATGCAATCTGTATGATACAGGAATATAACAAAAACCCATTTTCTATTGCCAGACATTCTAAACTTTGGTGAATCGGGGTATTCCTTGATGAAGTCAAGGATTAATCCCTTGAGGTTTTGAGATTCATTTATGGAACTGACATCTTCCAGTAGAAGTTTTTCATACGAACAGATAAGAGATCGAACCTTTAACCATATGTTTAGGGGATAAAATTATCTATCAATCAACCATGTTGATTTGTATTGACGGGTATACCTTTCATGTGCTGTAAATTTCTGAAGCCATATGCAAAAGGTGGCAATCCAGGCAAGCTTTCCGTCAGAGTACTCCCAGGATCAAACAGCCGTCTATGAACATTGAAATAGTGTCTTCGTCTGATATTCACGCTCCCTCCAAACATCTGTGGATTGTAATTCTGTAAAAACATTAGTAGAGTAAATGGATATATGCAGAAAAATTGTGATTTTAATAAATATAGACATGATATATGATTTTTTTTTTTCTGTACGCAAAATATTATGGATGTTGGGGTTGGGGTCAGCAGGGGTAGGCATTCATCTTTCAGGAGTACGTTATTTCTGAACCTAAGTATCTTTCTTCGCTTGAATTGCATATCCACAACATAACTGTATGACATGTAATTTCCTTTACTTAAATTTCATACGCACAACATATCTGTACTCATCATTTGGTGAAAAAATGCAGCAGCCAAGCAGGTTCAAATGCAAGTACAGAAAAAAATTTATCCTCCTTGTGCAAGAGTGGGACATATGAACAACTTTCTATAAAAACCTTTCTTCCCCTGATTCAAAACATCATGCATGTGTACAGCAGTTCTACAATACTTCATTTCTTACAATTGTGATTTCCTTATAACACGAAGATACTGGTGAAAATCATTTGAATGCACACATGATCATTCTTAAAAACACGACTCACTTGATGGTATCGGAACTTGAAAAAAAATGGTTATGCATCTGAGATAAAGAATAACTTTCTTTATTATGCTACATAGTGATATTTTCCCCAGGACATTCATGTGCTAAATGAAAGTAAATTACTTTTAGTCTGCTTAACAATGAAGACGTTCTCTTTGCTCTGTCTCTCTTCTTATCACACATTTCGCAAATGTTGTTTGCTCAGTTTTTGACAGGACATTCATTAATAATGAGCTAAGTAATGAATGTTACTTCACTAAACAACAGTAACAGTATAGGTTTTCAGAAAGACACAGGAGCAAGCAGTGCAACCAATAAGTTTCTTAAGGTATGAATGTGTATGATGGAAAAAATTCATCAAGTTTATGAATACAATTGACGGTCAAAATATAACTAATCAAGAACTACAGCCCAAGACAGATAGAACAGACAGAGTAAAGGATTTAGGACCTCTTTTCCACTGTGTAGAGGATTTTGAGCTTGTGAGAGGCAGGGCATGGGCAATAATGGTAGAGGCAAAGTCATGAAGCATCAAACACCACGGATAGAAACTTCAAGCTGTTGCACTCTATTAGCCAAATCATGTTTGCCACAATTCTTCAACCCATCAGTAACCATGTCAAAACAGCGCGAGATGGGGACCAACCCCATCTCAGTCATTTCAAAGAGGTAGTTCGCCGCCTCCACAAACTTCCCGGCACGACCACACATGGTAATCAACATGGTATAGAGAGGGCGATTAGGGGGGTGTGCCTTGGCCTTCATATCCCCAAAGAAGCAAAAAGCATCATCAAATTGTCCCCTCTTACACAGAGCCTTAATAACAGGCGCATACAAGCTAGGAAAGGGACTGTTACCATCCTCAACGAAATTATTGAGCAACCTAAAGGCCTCATCAATGAAGCCACTTCTAGAAACCGCGGGAATAAGAATCTTGTAAGTGTTGACATCAGGAACCATCCCTAAAGCACAAACTTCGTGATAAAGATCAATGCAAAACTGAACCTCTTCCTTGCTCACTGTCTCCACCACGGCATTGAAAGTTCCAACATCGGGAACGATCCCTTCCTTGATCATCTTCCTGACCATTCCTTTGGCTGATTCGACGTAACCGGCGTTGAGCAGGCCCTCGACAAGAAGGTCGCGGCCACGAAGGGTAGGGTTGAAACCCTTGTCGCTCATTTCCCTGAGGAAGAGCTTGGCCTCCCGGAGTTTGCCGGAAGAGCACCAGGCGTTGACAAGGACGGCGTAGGTGGTCTTGTCAGGGTGGACGCCCTTGCGGAGCATGCGGCGGAGGAGGGCGTAGGCGCCGTGAAAGAGGCGGTTGTGGCAGAGGGATTTGAGGAGGGCGTTGTAGAGCGGGAGGGTTTGGGGACAGTTGAGGAGAGCGGCCTTGTTGAAGACCTCAACGGCCTGGTCGACGTGGCGGTGGTGGCCGTAGGCGTCGATGAGAGCGGCGACAGCGGCGGGGGAGAGGGAGAGGCGGTGGTGGAGGGTGACTTGGCGGATGAGGGACCACATGGTTTGATAGTTGTTGGCGCGGGCGAGGGTGGTGACGATTTGTTCGAACTCGAGGGAAGTGGGGGTGTAGGAGGGGTGGGAGCGGGCCCAGTTGAAGAAGCGGAGGGAGGGCGTGGGGGCGGTGGAGCATGCGCGAAGGACGCGGAAGACTAGCTCCGGGGTGACGTGGATGCGGAGCTTGTTGAGAGTGCGCTCCAGGTAGAAGTCGCGGCGCACGATGTTGGAGACGTGGTGGATCACCGCGAAGTACTCGTCTCGGGCTGAGGCTGCGGTGGTTAGGGTTTTGGGGTTTGAATGGAGACCGAAGAGAAGTGTTTTGGTGGGGGAGAGGATGAGTTTTGCGTAACTCTGCAGCATTGCGATTGCAGAAGCGAGTCGCACCGTTTGTCTCTGTTCTTCGACTACTCGATACTGATCAAGGCAAACCGAAAGCGACAGTTCCAATGGACTTGGAAAGAGGATGGAGAAGAATACAAATGCTCAACATAATCCATTTCTTCATTACAGTGTTGTGTTTGATTGAAGCTACAACGTTGTTTGAGGCCGAGGGAAACGGAAAAACAAGGGGATGGGATTGTTGGAGAAGGGGAGTTACATTTGGGATTGGTTAAGCACTATTAAAAAGTAATTCGTTCATCCTGTAAAAAGTTAATGATAAAATGCTGCTCAAACAAATAAGTTAACAAAATAGTTTTAATATTTTTCCTTGAAACAAATAGGTTTTTCTTTAGCGCCAAATATTGTTTCCGCTAGAATTTATCAGAAAAATAAAAAATAAGATGTGTAAAAATTACAGAGAATATAAAAATTATGTTACAAAATACCAGTCCGTTGCTAGCATTTCTCAAAATCTTGTTCATGTTTTACTACCTACTGCATGGCAACTCCCAATTTTTAACACTTACCACCCCCTTTCCGGTTCCATGGGTCTTAGAAATTAAATTTTGTTTGAATTTTGGGTTTTCCTATTTTAAATTATAATAAATTAAATTTAATATTTATTATATATAAATAAATATTTACCATTTGTAGTTATTATTAATTAAATATACATTCTAATTTATTATATTTATATTAATATATATATATATATATATTTAATCATTTTTAATACAGATATAACATACTTATAATAATATTATTATTATTATTATTATTCAAATATTTCATTATATATTAATTAATTATTTTTAAAATAAAAATATTTATAAATATAAAATATATAATTTAAAAAACACATTTAAAAAATTAATTTGTATTTAATTAATTTAAAATAATAAAAAATTTAATTATTAATTATTTTAAAATTTGATATATGATAAATTAAAAATAATAAAATTAAATAAATATAACATAATAAAATTTTATAAAAATAAATCAAAAATAAAATAATATTAGTTATTATTAATATTAATGTAAAATATTTTAAAAAAAATTAACATTATATTAATGAAATTAGTTTAAAAAATTAAAAAAATAACTGAAAATAAAAATTTAAAGAAATGTGAATAAATAAAAGATAAAAGAAAAAAATAATATAATAAACTAATTGATATAAAATATTAAAAAATAAATAAATAAAATAACTAAAAATAATAAAATATTAAAAAAATTATTTTATATATAATAAAAAAATTAAAATATTAATTTTTTAATATTTAAATTTAAATATAAAATCGAAATAAATATAAAACTGAGATGAAAATTGTATTATTCATCCCACCTACTAATATTTTTTTTTTTTTAGGACATCCAATAATAGTTATTACTCAGATATTGAAAGGAAAAAATAAGCATTAATCATTAATGTCAACGAAGCATAGTTTATGCACCTACGAGTTCGTAATAAACAAAATCTCAAATATCTAGCATATTCATGCAATGGATTTCCCCTATAACCAAAGCTCGTATGAAGACACGAAACACGTATATAAAATAGACTAGGGACAACCGAGTTGAGAAATTAAAAAAACGGCAAGTGCTATAATAGAGATCGCTCTTACATTAGGGGATATCTTTCTGGAACAATGTGGAAGTAGATACGAGAATGAGTACATGACAGGATTTATTAGGGCATCATAGAGGCATACCTTCATGAAAAGTTTAACATATAGAACAAGATTTTCTTCGATTAAAAAAATTCGCAATTATATCCCTTTCCCCGAATCCTGGAAAGATTGGGCCATGAATTTATGTTGTTGTTGCTAATAACAGTGAGAGTTTTACAGAGCATTTCTTTATCCATCACTGCATTCCATTTTTACATTCCTGAATACTTTTCATGAAATATAAACATGGGTCAGGTTTGAATTTTTTCAAATACAGAAAGAAATACCCAATTTTGAATTGCCTAATACTAAAATATCTCTCTTATTTTTATCCAACAATTATGCTGATTAGGCAACTGAATAAAATCTTTGTTATTCATCAGGAAAACGGGTTAATAAAGAAAGAAAAACACTGAATTTCACAAATATATTTGCACGAAATGGTTCGCGCATGAAGAAAAAAAGCACACGAACTTTTTAAATTTAACAGTTGGCAATTTATTTTTAAAGCTTGCATATCAAATAAAATTATTGATAAAAAATATGACTAGGCTTTCAGTATCCAATAAGTTTTTTTTTCTTTTTGCAGCTCATAAAATTCCGAAAAAACTCATTTCCGAATAAATGGGAAATATCCAAAAAATTTATGGAATACCAAAAGAAACACCCATTCAAGAACTGCACATTAATGCTGGGAAGCTTGGTTGAATTGGGCGTTTGGTGTTCCACTTATGCATTAAAAGGTAGCTATCACTGCTTGCAGGAATGGACTCGGTACGTACACATAAAACAGACCCTTGGACCTAAAATTTGTAAAACTTAAGCGCTGGTCTTTTAAGATTCGTGGGCTTTTCACCATTTAATTGATGATGGTGTAAATCTGAATTATTAGCATTATTTAGATAGTTTAGATATGAGTAATCACCCTACATGTCTTCAAAAGAACGAGGTTTGCTTGTAGACTAAAAATAAATGTCTTTAGATAAGCACCATAGCAGCTTAATCTAAAATGGATGTCAAAATCCATAAATTTTACCCGCCAACCACTCCTTTTATCTTTTAAAGCTAGAAAACCTTGGCTCCAATAATGGCATTGCTTAAGAAACAAGAAGGAAATAAAGCATTACTACCAAACGGACCTACTTATGAGTGGCTCTGGACATCAACCAACATCTGGTACTCACAAACAGCTTGATTAGCTTGGACTACCTTTCTGTTCACCAGTATTACCTTGATTTGGTTTCCCACCACAACAGAAAAAGTGTGGAAGTCTAACACGACCACAAACCCTACAGAAAAAATGAGGTTAATTATTCACCTAAACTGGAAAAATACAAAAATTTAATATTTTTATCTTTTGGCAAAAGTATAGAATGGAGCTACACCAAGTAAACCCTATGCACGTCATATGTAATAGACATGCACTTGAATTTATCAGCACAAGCCTGTCTTAAATATTTCACAGGCAGTTGATGATGGAATCCCCACTTAGCAGATATATGGGAAATAAATTTTGAAGTTTAACCTCTCCTCCCTCTTTTTTCTCCCTCTGGTTCAGAGAAATTCTAAGTTAACTTCTTCGATAATGCTGAATCAGCTAAAAGGAGGGCCTAAGAAATCATGGATCAGGCTTTCAAGAGCCAATTGAAACAATGCGTAGTTCCCAAACTCTATTTTCTAATGTTTAGGAAAATTTGAAATCCATTGTCCTATAAAACACATGGTGCAATGAAAAAACAAGACTACCTAAATATTTTACATATATGTAGTCTAGTTTATGGACTACCGATTCTTGGATCTAATGATTCTCAACTACTTGTTCTCCTTCAACCTATTTATCAAAAAGTAATTGGAACAGAGTGATGTTGTCAGCAACATTCTAGCTTCTGTGACAGTTCGGGTAGCAACAGAAACAAAAACAATTTAAGTTATTTGATAGCTTCGCACAGTTATTAAGCAAAACTAGAGCATATTAGTGACATTATAGATTATTCCTGTTCAAGTGGTAGCACATTGCACAATAGATCCCAGTTAATGAGAATCGAGGCTAGGAAAGTGAGTGAGCAAGCAAGAAACCGAGCACAATGGTTTAGAGGAGTGAAGTGTAGTAAGTCATTCAGGCCTATTCAGGATGTTAACATAATTTTCTTTTTTCTAGACTGTATATTTGCAGGTTTGACTGACTGTGGAAGAAAATGAGAGCAACAGGGGGATCACAACTACGGCATGCAATGAAAAAAAAATGGTTTATTCTGTTCGTAGGAAACTAAAAGGTTTCATCGCACTCCAAATTTCAGTGTAGTTTAGCTTTAGCTCAAGCATAAAGGATGAAGTGTCTTTCACCCTAGATCCCAACAAATAAAGAAACTCCACCCCTCCCTTCTAACCTCTCCCCCTTTTATCTCCAACAGATATATAATTACTATGGTTGGTTCTTGGTTCTAGGTTCATAAAAGAAATATTTTCAACCAATTGAGCATGAACTCTTCATAATATTAAATTACTGTAAAATATTATAGGATCTCATGTTACCCACGTAATTTAGAAAAATGCATTTTCTTTCTTGTGATCCTTAGCGTTTCTTTGGCTAAACAGATTGATTCACCATTCAACTTTTTCAAATCCAGAAACTCAAGCTATTTCTGTTGCATGACATATCTTTAAAAGGTACGAAGAAGAAGGACATAGACCACAATTTGCGGTAAAATCTAAAACCATTATATTATAGACTGAAAGATATGACCAGGCATGCATGACTGAGTTGTTCACTAGAAGTTTACTTCACACCTAAATTGGACTATTATACTGACATAAATTTCATTTAAGTACCCGTCATTCAAAGGCTCTAATAAAGCTAATAAACAGATATTAGCCGATATTTGCAAAACATATCAAATAAAATCACACAATAATGCGAAACAAACTAAGACTTACTTGCATAGGACAATCACGGGAATAGGTTTCAGTGCTTTTGGTCCATTCCTTATTCCTCTTTTATGGGGAGATACCTGCACGACAGACACAACCATTAAAAAAATATAAAAACACAAAACCGATCTATTGACACTCACACCAATCCTGCTTAAAACACCACATCACATCACTGCACTCTATCAATTGATATTCCCAGAAGTAAAATTCAAACCTTCTAGAGAGCCAAGCAAGAACAGGAAAAAAAAAACACAGGGAAGTGAACATGTACCTTGCGTTTTGGGACAGCCATGAGCTCCATAGAACCACCAAGAGAGAAACTCGGGAAACTGAACTCGGGCAAAACGGGTTGTGGTGACTGAACCCCAAAATAAATGCTCCCAGGTAAAGGAGGAGATTGGGGCACCGAATGAATCAACCTATTAAACCCTAAAACACTTCCTAACTTCCCTTTCCCTCCGTCTCCCCTCACAATTGCGAGTCTTGCAGCCATTGCTGTCATTGAACAACAACATATGAAAGACATTGAAGGCGGATAACCACAAAATGGTGGAGATTTTCAGAGGAAAGACGTGAAAGCAAAACTCGAAGAAAAAGGTTAATGACAATTCGACCAAAAAATAATTTTCAGAATAAATCATTGAAGTTGGGAGTTACCTGAATGAAAATGTGTAGGAACTTCGACGCTTGTTATGCTAATTGGATTAAGCGAAGTTAGTTTTTGGTTGAAAGAATGGAGTGAGCATTGAGAACATTAGTTTGAGGTGGTGTTCATGGTTGCTGCAAATTAGGCATCACTCTCCAAACCCTAACATAACAAAGTTGAAGAAAATAGGGTATATGCAAACCCCATCTTCAGAATTTCTATCAAAACACGCTAAAAAAAATATGCACTATTTCACTACAATGTAAAATATATTTAAAATATTAAAAATAAATATGTTTTTAATATAATTTAGGCTTAAAAACTTGTTGATATTTTATCAATTCACCAAATTTATGTATGGTTGAATAAAAAAAATTGCGATGCTTACCGTTTACTTACCGTTAATTAATGAATTGTGTTATGTATTTTTTTATTTATTTTGATCATTCTAAATTTATTTATTTTTTCGTTCATACTTTTTTTTTCTCATCTTGAATCTCCAAAAAAATTTATTTTCATTTTTGTTTTTATTATTTATCGGTATCATTTAACTGATAAATTGTATGTGAAATAATTATGTTAACAGTTGAATAATTGATATTATATACTTTTAAAGTGTGCTAAGAAAAAAATTATTAAATTGATGCAAACAATATGATTTTAGGATCTCTATTCTCTATTTCTTTCAGTGTTTCCTATTCAATATCAAATCCAAAAAGGACGTGAGTAGAATAAGGAAAACATAAAAAAAAATGCAAACCCTAAATAAAGGGAAACAACCTTTTTTTTCATTACATTGATTAATTTAATTCTTTAAAAATATAGTTAAAAAAATACATGTGTTAGTTTTAATAAGTTATTTAGTCACTTAACAAATCACTTAAAAAATGTCAAAATATTAGACATAAAAAAAGAAATAAAAAATTTATAGGCCAAAACTGTAAAAAAAATTATTGATAACAAAAATAAAATGTAAAAAATCATAAAGACCAAGATAAAAAAGTAATAATCATTGTTAGTCTTATTTAGCAAGTGAAGTATCACTTAATGGATAACTCATCATTTTTATTGATAAAAGAAAATATTAGGAACCAAAAGTTGAAGTATAAAGTGGTAAATAATTATATTAGTTGAAAATTAGATAAAAACAAATTTGGTAGAATTAATATATATTTAGATATTGTATCATAATAATTTTCTATTAGTAAAATTTAAGCGTGTATATGTATACAATTTGATTTTGTATGATAAAAGAAGGTATGAACTCCATGATTTACATGAAAAAGGTGGTGCGATATGAAAATTTATGCTTTTGAGTTATTTTTGTTGATGACTTTACATACATTTTATAAGTTAAATTTAAGTTATTTTTAATTAGTTGATGAAATTTAAGTAATGGTTTAGTGATATAAAAAATCAATTTAAACTATTAAAAAGTATAGAAGTGGACATTTGGGAAATATAACAGTGAAATTTATGTTCATACTAAAACAAACGTGGTAACAGGTCATATAAATTATTATTATTATAACATAAGTGTAATAATTTTTAAGAAAAATAATATTTTTTATCACAAATAATTAACATATAACGACGTTATTAATAACATCAACAATATGATCTTATATTTTATATAATATGATTCTTCTTTATATTATGTGTTCTAAGTCTCTATTATGTTAGATGGGATATAATGTATACTTATGTATAGCTCATGTATATATATTTATTGTGTTAGTCTCTATTGTGTCATCTTATTCTATTTTTAATGTTTGAATTTAGGAGAATCTAGTTTCATGATATTAGAAATAGATTTGTATTGGAAAATTGTTTCTGTTTTTTACTTGAATCGAATCAAACCTAAGCTTAAACTATTGGAAACAAAGTTTAGATTATTGTGTAAAAAAGTTTTTGTGTTTGATGCATGATTCTTAATAAATTTTTTAAGAAATTAATTGATTTCTTAAGACATTTAGAATTTTAGTGTTAAGGTATTAATTTGAAGTAATCTATTGAACTTTAAACTGCGATTTAAATTCATGCATGTATAGATAATAGTGTTAAGATACATGTAACTATATTTTATTATTGTATTTTAGGTAAGTATATATTTAGTTTATAATTAATTTTCTAAATATATCTCCGATATTATTAGTTACTTAAGATTACAACTTGTACATTATATTTATTCTAAGTCAATAAATAAGATTAATTGAGGAAAATATTTTTTTAAATAGGTTGTATAGAGTTTTAGTTAGATTCTATTTAAGGGTTTATTTCCTTGTGTTTTTTCTATACAACAATTTATTGTATTCACCAATCCATTTGTATACAAATATCTCATCATACAAGGTTTTAATTTGATGAAAGTTGATATTGTGTGATATTTGTGAAGTCCATGAGGATATCACAACCCTTTTTACAGTTATACTACATTGACTCGGTTCACTTGCCGAGGAAAAAATCAATAACAAATAGATAACAATCGGTCAAAACTTGTTGTTTAAGTAAGAATTTATCTTATGAAGTTGTAGTACCAAAATAATTCACGTTGTATTATGACTGATCTCATAGGTTAGACTCATCAAGAGGTACTTAACTTACGATTATATTCACGAAAATCTTGCTTAAAATCTCACACTTTACCTAGAAATCTGCATAAGAAACGACAATTGAACATAGGACATCGTGAACAAAGCCTCTCACACAATATTGACAATTAATATAAAGAAATATTAGGATTAAAGAGGTAGAAAAAACTTAATACAAATATTGTTAATCAAATGAAAACTTTTGAACTAGAGAAGCCAATGGTACTAAGCAAATGTCATATTTTAAAACAGAATACTATTTATATCAACATTTTTTTTAATATAGATACAATCCATTCATACCTAACTCTCAAAGTATTTTATTAGTTTAAAAAATAAATCCTCAAAATTTTCTAATATTATGTTTTGATAAGGTATTTTATAATTTTTAAAAAATTTAAATACACTAAATTAATTTTTTTTAATAATTTTTAAAATTATTTATTTGGATAAGATAATTTAAATTTATTAAAATTTATTTTTTTATTTGAATAAAGTATTTCATTTATCATTAAATATCGGAATCATCAAATGATGATTACTATATTATGAATTAGGTCCAACTCGAAGTATTTGACCCTTCTTCATATCAATAAGGTTGGATCGAGATGGATCATAACAAAGTAAATTAAGTCAAGTGAGATTAGAACATACAAGACTAGTAATATAAGGTTCAGTCCAATCAAAACAATTTGTATCAGGTCATGAAAATTGGTTTAAACTGACATGTTGAGAAGAGTTGGGTAATGTTGGATTGTATAAGGATGAGTCATAGTGAATTAAATAATGTCAAGTTTATTTGAATCCAAATGAGTCAAGTTGAATTATAAATGAATATGATAGATCAAGATTAGATAGGTTAGGTCGGACCAAGACAAGATATATTAAGTTAAAAATGATCGGATCAAGATGAATCACATTAGACAAAGACAAGTTAAATTATGACAGGTTGGGTCAGAATGGGTTAGACATATTTTGACTAGTTTGGTTAAACTTAATTAAGAAATATCTAATTAATGTACGATAAGTCAGGTAAAAATAAGTTAGATTAGGTCAAAATAAGTTAAGTTAGACCAATATAGGATGGATCAGATTGAGATCGATTAAGTTAGGAAAACATATTGAGTTTGTTCAAACTAAGTCAAGGCAAGTCAAACCTGAGTTAGCCAATGTTGATTTGGGTCGATTTGTGTTAAACATGTCAAGATGAGTCAAAAAAATTAATCAATATTAAATAAAAGAGAAAATATATAAAAAAAGGCATAAAGTTAAGAAAGAAAAAATTGTGAAATTTAAATTATTATTTTTTATTATAATTTATTTCATTTTAAATAATAAAATATTCTCATAAAATTTTTATCCAAATAATTAATCATGAATTTTTTTAAACATTCTATTAAAATGAATTTTATATATAAATTATTTATCCAAACAAAATTCAGAACTTTTAATAAACATAATTTTTGTTTGAAAACTTAGGAATTTTCTTTTTCATTTTTTTACTTATTTTTTATTAATGTTTACATAGATTATTACACAATCTATAATACCATCTATCGTCACCTTTTTTTTTAAGAATTGACAAATAAAATATACAGGATGATATTTTAATATCTAATTTCATGACTTATTTATATATAACTCTTTTAAATGAACAACGTCAAATGTCCTTATACCCAAACCTATATTACCAAGGGAAAATAAATTGTCCATTGACCAAGAATAACACATTTGTTAGTGACACAACAGCAACTTATGAAATTTTTTTAACACTATCAAGTTAAATTTTAAGTTTTTTTTTAATAAATTTTTATAAACATTTTATAAAAAAAATTAGTTTATCAAATAAATTTGACTTAATATAAAATAATTTTATAAATTAATTTATATTTAAATTAATTCTAAATTATAAAAAGATTGGTCTAACTTAAATAAAATTGTTCTGTTAAGATCCACAATTTGAAGCTCTCTCTTTAATGGTTTGCAGACTGACCATCATCACCATTTTCTTTTACCATATATAATTTTTAATGTTCTATAGTTTATTTGTTTCTTAATTTGTATATTTTGTCTTCATTATTAATTCAAAGTTAGACACTTAATAAGATAAAATAAATTAGTAAGGTAAAAGTAATTGTGAAAATTATTACCATTAATTAATACAATTTCAACAAAAATAAAATAATATATATATATATATATATTTAAAGATTTTCTAGTTGAATCTAAATATGGTAACCATTTTCATAAGTAAAAAACACTGAATTAATTAAAAAAATTATTGACTTT